CGATCTTATGCCATCACATCCAGGCACTTTGTAGGTATTCTCCAAAGTACCATAATTTTCAATAAAATCAACAGGTTGAATAACTTTTTTTGCATATGTTTTTCCTAAACTACAGTAATGTCTATTAAAAGCATTTGAAATATCTTGCTTATTTTCAGTTATGGAGCCGTTTTCCAATTTTATTTTGTTTTATTTATTGCTACTTTTGATAAAAAATTTAATTTTTTCTAGAAGTTATGTGATTTATAGGTATATTTTTAATTTTGTTATATTAATATTTACTAATTCCATTTGCAAGTAGGCGACTTGGTGGTTATTTTTAAGTGTTGCTCTTTGTCAAGGGAGAGATGAGAACAAGAGGAATACGGGATACTTTTTTGAAAAATTATATTAACAATTTGTATTTGAACAATTTTATATTTAAATGAAATTAAATTAATAATTTCGTCCTAATAGCAAACAAGGAAATGAATGTTTAATTGTCTGAAATAAAAATAGATAATTTAAGTCCAAAAACATTCTACAATAATTTTAATGCAAAAAACGCTATACCTATTTCTAAAATTTTTTTTCTATAATTTTCCAAAACAAGCCTCAGTTATATATTCATCCTAAAATATTACTTCTATTAGCATCCCATTTTTGCCATAACTACAAAGACAAACGTTTTAAAACTGTCTTGGTATAATAACCATTTGATGTTTTATAGCTCGAACAGGCTGCATTAGCAGAATGTAGTTTTATTTTTACATCAGCATGTGGGACGCAATGCAATGGATACCACACATCAGACAGCCCAAATTTTCATATCAATAATTCAGGCTTCCAGATAACACGGGTTTAGTATTTATAGTTAATCTGCAACGTTTAACTACCATATAAAATAATGCAAACAAGTTCCAGGATTTAAAAACAAGCAATGAAACCCTAAGATAAACTAAAGTAACGCGGTATAAAATGATCCGATACAGATGTCTGCTAAGATATACTTATATGATGTTTGCTAAATTGCTACTAAAAACTCATATTTAAACAAAGTCTAACACTTGAACAGGTTATTTTTATTTTTATATGAATATTCAACATTGGAGAATCTAATTAGGTACCTAATTATCTAATCTAATAGTTGATACTACATTTTTTGAAAAATTTTGTTAATTGATGATTGCATATTAAATAAAAAGCATTGATCGTAGTTTTTTACGTACTTACATGAATATACAACCAACAATTTAAGAAAGAGACCAATTTTAGACGATAAAGTGATATCTTTATATGTATAAGTATCAATGTACAAAATTATAAGAAAATCTTACAGTTTCAAAATTATTTGAAAAAAATTTGTTGGCTGAAAATTTGTAATAAGGGAAATATACTCCTCTAAAGAGGGACGATAAATATTATGTATCTCAAAGGTATTCCGGGATATCTAATTCATACATTAAATTTTACATAGGACCCCTGGACACTAATTTACGTTATTATTATTATTATTATTCAAATCCTGTGTCTTGTCTAAGAAGTAGTTTTAACTAACACTGAAGATAAAGTGTCCTCGACATTTTTACTTTTACCTTTTTAGTACTATATACAGGGTGTTCCATTTAAAAATACATAACATTGATATGGTACGCTTTTCCTGGACACCCTGTATATATCAAAATGTTTTTAAAATGTAGCCGTAATCATCCTACAGATGCCCACCTAAACAGGTTTCTGTAATATTTGCCGTTTGGTTCCTAGCGATCAAGGCGTTACTGGTGGCCCACCCTGTATAAGCTAATTGCAGAATGCATCAGTAACATACTAAATTAAGTAATCATTTTAGTTTTAAGCACAAGAGCAGTTGTTTTCTTAAAATTTTTACCAATGTGAACAAAGAAAATTAAATGAGAAGTTTCACTTATTTCTTTAATCCAACATCCATATAAAATTTTTCTGCAGTATTTGTTGCGGTTGATCAACAATGTCATAAACAAAATGTACTATTTTCCAGCATGTCAGAGTAGCAAACTAAAGATAATATAAAATTGAGAAAGATGACATCAAATTCTTTTAAATTTCGTTTGTAGGTGCCCATATCTCATCTAATACAAGATGTTAGAGAGTCAAGGAATTAATTTTAATGGAATCTTGATAAAAATTTACCTTACGTAGATAGAAATGGTACAAATAATACTCCGTGTTGTTTCAATACCACTAAGATGTATTTAATGGCTAGTAGTGGGGTGACAATATTTGAAGCTCCACTCACTGTAATAAAAGTATGGTAAAATTCCTTGAACTTTCCATGGTAACCTATTGCCATGGAATGTTTAAGCAAAAATTCATGTAACAATTATGCAACATTAAGGTCCGGTATTTCGAGTCTGTTTGATCAACTGATCAGGCGATTAGACTGTACATATACTGATTTATTTTATAAAGTATAATCACAGTCTAATCTCCTGAATAGTTAATCGAGTCTTAACCGATACTCAAAGCACCGGGCCTAAATATACCTAATTTCAAAATATATATTGATTGATATTTTACTGGCAACAGGTTTCCATGGAAAGTTCCAGAAAATTTACCATACCATTATAATATTACAGTGCTTGAGATGGTCATCCTTTTATTAGTTAACTAAATATTAATAGTTTGAATGTTTTGTTGTCCGTTTTTTATTTCGATAACTGCTGAAGGTAGTTTCTTAACCGCAACTGGTTGCGCATCTCGCTTTTCGATATTAGTCTACCATAGGTAAAATTGTAGTAATCATACTGGTTACTAGCAACTTATCAACAAACACCATGCTACAATTCTGTCCCCAGACGAATCTGTTTTTACCAGCCACTGCATATTTGACATCCACAGTACTCATCAGAAGTTTACTGAAAATCCTCAGCTACTAACTTTTAACATCACTTTCCATTAATATTTGAGCAGTCACTAAGAGCAATGCTTTCAATAAGTCCATTTGTCTTACCAAACCGTTTAATTAGATATTATTTGAACTTTTTAGAGAACAATTAATTACTCCCTATACCCTTCCGGACATAGATCTGCGTCATGAAAGATTCTACCTCTTCAGAATGCAAATAAGGCATGGTGAAGGGTGAACGCAGACAAAAAACCAACCCTCTAGTCTAGAGGGATGAAAAGTACCCTTTGCTGGACGGGGGTGGAGGATGATGTGGGAGATCAATTTTTTCTTGTTTTTACTGCGCAATGGTCTCAGTGCACTAAGCAGAACAGCCCTCAACTGCTTTTGCCTCCTTAGAGGTGGAAACTACCTATTCTTCTTTTATTTTGTTGACTCTTTGTCGTTATTTCTTACTACTATACTTACACTATTGTTGTCTATTTTGTTAACTCTTTATAGTTATTTCTGCCGTTGAATTTTGAAGGTGTGTGTTAGAAAATGTGTGTGCACTTAAAGTATAGAACGCAGAGGTCGGGTAAAAGGTTAAGGCAGACAAGGCGGAGCAAATGTTCGAGGGTTGGAGAAGAGATAACAGAAGGTGTATGAGAGCTCGATAAATTCCGCACTGAAAAAAATTAATCTTCCCACATCCTTCTGCGTCTTCCTTTTCCAACTCGTCGAGAAATGTTCTTTACCTGCTTTTAGCGTTGATCTTGCTGTGCAGATTCAATACCCTTGGCAGATTTCCCTTCTCAGAGTGCATATTTCCGGCCTTTACAGTTTTTCGAATACTTCCTATGAATTTGCCACTCTTTAGACGGGTACGGACAAAGCAGTTGAGGCAGTAAAAATAAGAAAAATTTACTCTCCCACATCTTCTTCTACCCCGTCCAGCAGAGGGTAGTTCACCCCTCTAGGGGGTTTGTTCTTTGGCTGTGTTTACCCTCCACCATGTCTCCATTACATTTTCAAGCGTTTGTAGGCTAGAAGCTTTCATGACGCTGATCTATGCCCGAAAGGGTATAGAAGTAGAAGGGATGTAGAAAGGGTACCAGCCCCTTTGAGGGAACCCTCGGCAATACTAAATGAGAGCACCAGGGTTGTAAAGTGCCCATTCATACTACTTTCCGTAATGATATTGATATTCATAACTTTAACATTATTAAAGGGATGTTTTTGGTTCTACACAAAAATTTAGGGGGTATGCGAATTTTTTTGACCTCGGATTCGGATTCAGTATCGAAAAATACATCGGAATACCATGGTCAGTCATCCAGATCATGACTTTTTTTTGTGTGGGGCTGTGCTCTTTGAAGAAGATCTCATCAGTCAGGAAATATAGTATTTGCAAGACTAGACTCCCTTCGTTATAAGGATATTTACATAATGAATTTCCCATTAGGTGGATTAAGTTCCATGGTCTTCTCGTTCTCTGGGCTTAAATGTTTTAAACTTTAACTTTTGGGGATATTTAAATCGTTAATGTATGGCAAAGAAGGTAATAAGTTTGACGAGTTATCACTCTGAATTACCTAAAGTTGCACCACGGACTATTAAACAACGGGAGAACATTTTTAGGTTATTTCTCAACTCGTTGAGCTCGGTTGTATGTTGATGAAGTAGTGGCAACATCGAACAATTACATGATATGACAATACGACGTATCATTCCCTCTCGACTATAGGAATGCTTAATATATTCACACAGTTTTGCTAAGTAAGCTAAGTATTTATTTCTTTTATTTTTTTTGTTATCCTTCAAATATAATTTTCAAGTTTATGAAGACCTTGACGAGCAGAACAGTTAGAAAAAAAGCTATTGCTATTATGATAATCCGTAGCTTATTGCTAGTTAATAATGTTCAGAGCCTATTAAAATTATACGTTTCTGCTTCCGTGTGACACTTTAAGTCTACGACAGGTCTCATAAATTAATAAATGTTCCAGCAAAACTCTGAATCGCATACTTGGATATAAAAGAACTATTCATTCATACGGAAACCAATATTTGTTTAAGATCTACTTAAGATACAAACTAAAGTAGTTGAAGGCATGTGAAAATCATTTATATGAAGAGGCTGTTAATAAATACTTACCAGTCTTTTTGATGGTTTAATTAGTGGTCTATTCATTCCATTCATCTTGTGGTAGAGACCACAAGCATTGCACAAATAATGTCCCGTTCCGTCCCTTCTCCACAGCGGCGTAGATATCGCCCCGCAGTTTACACACTCTCTTCCTTCGCCAAACGGAAAATCCATTCCAGCATCTGAAATAATTATTTGTAATAAGTAATAAAATAAAAAAAATAATCATTGTAGTTCTGATTATGAATCCATAACATTTCCATTAATTTTCACAAGGTGTACCAATATTCTGTGTATGGAGTTAGATTCTTGAGGTCAAAATAGAGCGATTTAATTAAACGTTATCGAAAGTTGAATGGTGAATGCTATGCTTTCGAAATCTCACGTGTTCAATGGCAAAGTCACAGAAAGCCCTATTGCAAAATCCTGACTGTTTGAATCGCTAGATCATTGCAGTATAGATATAAGGCAATTGTTTTCACTGGATATCTGCTACTTACGGATTGTATAAAATATAAGGATATTGAATACCTACGGATTGTGTAAAACTAAAAAATAACCTAACCTGTAAAAAAATAGTGATTGAAGATAGAAAAAGTGAAGAAAGTAAAATATTTTCTGTGATATACGAGGGCCCAAAAATATTCTGACGAAATTCGCTGCGCCCGCCGCTCTTATAGTTTGGTCTTCTCTCGCTAGATGGGTGTTACGTAACTCTCCCTGAGACGGTCTGCTAAGTGGCGATGCTTGAGACGGTTGTAGCGCGCCCCGAGACAGTTTTCGTGCAACAACTACTTCGGCCTCGGATTTTTTAAAATGGTTGATATTCGAAAACAGCGTGCGGCATTGAAATTTTGTTTTCTGTTCGGTAAAACTAGAACGGACATGGTTGATATGTTGTCTACAGTTTATAAAGAACATGTCTTGAAAATAACTCACATCCAACACCCAGAACTGAAGAAAACGAGGAAATAATTCAAGCTCTTGCGTACAGGGATAGAAGACGCACTATTGATGTACTTGCTGAATTATTTGGTGCTCAGTGTAACGCATTTTAACTGAAAATTTACAAATGGAACTATTCGCGGCGGAATACATCCACCGCTTATTGGCTACAGACGCACTGTAATAAAAAGTATGGTAAAACTCCCCGAACTTTCCATGGTAACCAATTGCCATAGAATGTTCAAGAAAAATTCATGTATAATCAATATATTATTATTTAAAGGATTTAATAAATATTACAAAATTGTTACATGGATTTTACTTGAACATTCCCTGGCAACAGGTTACCATGGAAAGTTCAGGGAATTTTACCACACTTTTTAATACAGTGGCGCTCGTGTCGCTGGTTGCCGTGACTTTTTGGACCACTTGGAAGTGGAAGTTTCGTTCCTTCGGATGAAAAGGCAGCTGGAAGGGAAACATTTTCCAGATATTCCCGAGGTGAAAAGAATATCGAAGGCAGCGCTGCAAGGGATCGGAAAGGACGAGTACGAAAGGTGTTTCGCTCAGTGGAAAAACGTTTAACTCAGTATATTAGTGTCAATGGAGAGAACTTCGAACGTGACTAACGTTTGTAACCCGAAAAAATAAATTCTGTATTTTTTTAAAATGGCGTCCGGTTATTTTTGGGTCACCCCTCGTACATGTTTAAAATGACAACTTGAATATTTATAGAGACTTTATGCAACCTAATTTTTATAATTAGGTAGCAGTAATTAGTACACTATTTGGAAGTATACATAATCCTAAAAACTTGTTTATTAAATTTGTTTTATAATTACATAATTTTATTAATATGCGGCTATACCTTTTTTCTATAAGAACCTTATATAGAATACGTGTGTATATTTATTTTTCTTAAACGTATAGTAAACGCTATATTTCAGATTCAGTAAAGAGCAATGAGAACAATCACATTACACTCGTACTTCGAGAACTGCCTGGTAGTTTTCTATCCCATTATTGCCGCGATGGGGCGAATTCGATTTAAACAGGCGGGATTTTATAGTTGTAGGATGTTGGTGACATAGTCTATCGAACACTCTGTGATCGAACACATAAGATTTCGAATGTGTGAGGTACTTCGCAAAATTGCTTCATTTAGCCGCTAGAGATCGCCAGAGGCGGCAAAAATTTTAAGTTTATCCCAAACAACTCAATCGATTTAAATGTTATTTGGTACGTTAGTATTTGTGTATAGTTGCCACTTTTTGACTTAGCAAGCGTAGTAATTGCATTTTCTAAAACTGGAAAAATAACCTCATTTTTAAGAGAACTTATATTTTTTTGGACTTGACATTTGTCAAGTTTTATCCCTTTCTAAATTTTTTATTCCTAACGATTTTTCAATAGTTAATTGTTTTATTATTAATTACCAATACATTTTTATACAAATCTGAATTTGTTATAACCAAAAGAAAATGTTTATTCGGTAATAATAACGCAATAGCTTCAATTAAGTCAAACACAGACATGATGGGAAATAGTTAAATATTTTTAGTAACACATAATTTAGTCAAAAAAATCCTTAATTCAGTAACTCCTATACAGAAAATGGCACTATATTTTAGATGTAAGTATTTGAAAAAAACAAAATGTTACTAGACAATTTTTGTTAAATCGTATAAAACGGATGTTGTAGTTGTTTGAAGCTGAAGGATAGCTACTTTTTAATACGAATATAAACCAGAATTTTATTTTAAAATCCAGATAATTATATTACAGCTTTGTTGGTTGGACGGGATAAAAATGGGTACAGAGTAGACCAAACTCTATGACTTTTAAGATGCTGAATTTCTAACCCTGCGCATTCCCTGCAATTGGTCAAGAGCCACCCTTTTTGTGTGTAGCAATAAACTTTATATTCCACCCCCTCCCGCCCCGTTTTCGAGGATGCTGATCACGTACTTGATGATTATTACTCTCCCTAACCCTCGCAACCCCATTGCCCTTACTTCCGTTTTAAATGGTGCTTATCACGAATATGATGATCACTACCCTCCCTAATCCTCTAGAGGGTGTTGCTTATAAACAAGATGGTCAGGACTCTTGCCAACTTTCGCAATACCCTTGAAGGGATCACAACCAGCCTTATTTATAATTTTGAAATATTGTGGGATCGTATTGTCACATACTAAGAAAAAAATTATTTTGAATTTGCGCGGGTCCGTACGTCTCTTCGTGCAGCTTCCAAGAAGGATTTTAGAACGTCCAGGTGGCCTGAAAGAAATTAGTGGTGTCGCGTCTCTGTGCTCGAGAACGTTAGAAATACCTTGCGATGTCTAGGCCAACTATACATTGTATTTACGTTCCTTTGACCTACATAAACTGTTCCCGATATTCGTGATCAACACCCTCGAAAATAGGAAGTTACATTGTTGGATTCAATAAGATCGGATTGGGAGTAGTTTTGACCCTTTCGGGGGTTGCGAGGTTTGGGGAGGGTTATGATCAGCACTCAAGAAGAGGGGGGGGGGGATATAAAGTTCATCGTGGTGGTCCAAAATCAAAAATAGTTCAATTGCAGGGGATGAGCAGGGTTAGAAATATAACGGACCTCAAATTCGGATTCAGCACCCTCGAAAAGAAAGAGGAGATTGGTTTCGTAGCTATAGCAAATACTTCCCTACATTCGATATTTTTTCACTACACTACCTACAATCTGACACTCAATATGACTTTATATAGTACCTACTTAGTGCTGTTAACAAATTGTGAACATACAGATGATAGAGGTGGATGGTTTTGTTAGATTTTGAGTTTTGTGAAGAATTACTTTTAAGGGACAATATCTATTCTTTTCCTTTTTAGTGTTTTTAATGTAACTCATTTCAAGTTATTTATGTTTTGATTAATATTTTATAGAGAACCTCAAGGATCTAATTGTATTACTGAAAACAGCTTTTATTACAATAGTTTAATAAAAATTTTAATTAGAATTGATTTTATAGGGTTCCATAAATTATGCTCTCCTGCATTAAAAATAGTAGTATAAAAGATTAGTTGCATTATAATTTACGATTATGACCCGTAATTGTCCTGTATAATAATAGCTTTTACAGCCGTTTTTATTATTTTCACTACCAAAATAATAAAGTTTTAATCACGTAACGAAAGCTAATGAAATAATTAATCTCCTTTATGCAGTGTCAGTGTACAATAAAGTAGGTATAATTTCCTTACTTTATTGTTTTATTAAAAAACAACGTCCTTATAGGTCGAATTTTTATTTGATTAAGTCACATTAATAAACCTCTACTATCAGCCTCCTTAATTAAATTAAACTTAGTTTGAAAAGATTTGAAGTGACTTTTTCAACGGCCATTGAAAGATTTCTGAAGAAATTGTGAAGGAGTTCTCTAATGGGTATTGATAGAGACATTTTTCTTTCTCTAGTAAGTAACACGAAAAATATGGCAACATTGTCTGAATTTAAAAAGTGTAATAAAACCCTAAAATCCTGTGTATTTCCGGTATTTTGGAGGACCTCTATATTTAAGAAACGCGATATAAGTAAAATCGAAAACTATCCTTCTATTACTTTAATTCCTAATTTTGCGAAGATATTTGAAATTTATGATTTAACATATACCTAAGTACAAGGTCAAATTGTACCTAATCAACATTTGTTCATGGTTGCTCTACGCTTACCAATCTTTAGTATATCACACCGTATATTTCGAACTTTTCGATGCTCATGTACAGGTTGATGTTGAATATATAAATTTTTCAAAGGCGTTTGAGAGGTTAGATTACGGTATGCTCATTAACAAGTAATCAACATTAACTAAATCTTTTAAATTTTATCTGTATGCAGAATTGTGTAAACTGAACCCATTTGAACCAACAAATTCTTCTAGAGTTCCTCAAGGCTCCATACCGGGCCCTCTTTTATTTATTATTTATATGAACGTTATCGTTGTTGACCTGGATGTGCAACCTTTGTTATTTGCAGATGATATGAAACTTTTTTCACAATTATTATTTCACAATTCGCAATAAAATCCAAAAATAATGTCTCAACAATAAACTTCCGCTTAATATTGATAAGTATCATATTCGTTCTTATCATCGGAGGCATCATGACCTTGAATTTGACTATAAACTAAATGGACCGACTCTTGCTCATCCAGAATACTTTTGGGATCTGGGTGTAATCTTTGATAATAAATTCACA